GGTAGGGCTTCCTGTTCAGGCGGTGCTGGTAGTTGAAGTGGCCGAGGCCCATCGCCAGTGCGGGGTCGCCTCTGCGGTGAGTCGCCCGCGTGGTCGAGGACGGAATCCTCGGGCGGTGGTGGCGGTTGGTCTCCTGGCGGCCCGCCCGGAAGTGGGCCCTGCGGCGGCCCTGGCGGCGGGTTGCCATTCAGGGCGTTCAGCACTTGTCCCCGCGGCGCGAGCTCTGAAGCCGCGGCGCGGCGCAGGTGTCCGCGGCTGACCTTCGCGGGCACGGAGCGGCGGGCGTTGGCTGTGCCCTCGAAACCAATGATGGCGCCTGGTCCGTGCCACTGCAATGCCCGCTCGCGTTTGGGCTTACAGTTGCCTTTCCAGTAATGCACCTGGTCGCCTGTCTGGCCAGCGTCGGCGGCGCGCCGCGCCCCATCTGCCCGGGTCCGGGCCAGCAGCGCCCTCGACAAATATTGGTTGAGACGACGGCAATTCTCTCGGAGAAAGGCCGGTCGGACACGATGCGCTCGCGCAGGGAGAGTCTGCCGGCTGTCCAGCAAAATGGACGGTTGTTGAAGTCATCGCCCGGTTGCCCATTCAGAGGGCGAGTAGCCGGAAGCGCTGACCTGGCCGTTCGCGGCCCAGCGCACCGAAGCGAGCAACCACTGAAAACGATGATCTGTCTCGGGATGGTCGAACTTGATGCTGAACTGGTCGATCAGCTTCCTGGCGTGAACCTTCCACGAGCCTTCGCGTCGCTCCACGGTGGCGCCCTGCTGCGGCGCAGCCGCGGCGGTCGTCGTCAGGCGGCGGCCCATGTCCTCGAGCACCTTGAAAAACCCTCGCTCGAACTCGCCTCCTCCATCGAAGATGGCGCGTCGAGGCGCGCCAGCGGGTGCCATCCAGACCCGCGGCAGTCGAGCGAAGACAACCGAAGGGGCGCCTCGAGGGGGCGGTGCCAAGCAAGGTAAACCCGTAAACCTGAAGCCAGGTCGACCACGATGAGGAGGATCAGCTGGTTGCCAGCGTAGTCGGCAAGCAGGAAAAGGTCCACCCTGATGGTCTCTGAAGTCGCGGTGCAGCTTGATCCCCCCCAGGCAGGCGGGGTAGTGGTCGCTGATGGTGGCGCAGACCTCACAATGGAGGTTGAAGGTCATCTCGGCCTCTCACTGTTGTCCACCTGCGACTCGGATAGCCCAGACCAGCGAGTCGTTGGACGGGTGCCCCGTGTTCGCGCGGAGCTGCACTGCTGCGGATCGGATCGTTCGCTCCTCCGCTGCTGTCAGCGCGGGCCCCCGAGGAGCCGCCTGCGCTGGGGCGGCCCCCCTCGCCCGCCGGGCCGGGCGCGCCTCTCGCGGAGGTCGGTTTGGTCGTCGTAGCTGGGCGGCCAAGACCTTCGCGAGCTTGGGCGTGCATTGTTTTTGCTGTCCTTAGCGTCCTGGCCGCGCGCTTCAGCGCGGGGGTGCGACTTGTCGCAGCGCCTCCTCAGTGTGGCGTCGAATATGTAGCGGCGGGCTTGCATCCTCCAAGGCTTCTCGGTGCGGATCCTCTCTTCGCCTTGAGGTCGAACGCGCGGCCGTCGAAATCGACCGCCCGCGGCAGCTGCCCCCTTAGCTTCTTCGCGGTCGCGTTCTTATTGGGACCCAATCCGTTGCAGCATCTCGGCCACTCGAATGAGACGGCAAGCTGCCTGCCGACATCCTTGTAGCCGACACGTCGACTGCAGGAACAGGCCGATCACCCGCTCGGACTTGGCCCTGCACTGCTGGCACTTCGGGCTCTTCCCAAGGTCGATCTGGATGACAAGTCGCTGTGAAGAAGTCCACGGCTGGCACGGAAACGCAGCGTGGACTCGGGCGCTTTTGCCGCGAGCGGAGGACGCCCTGATCTTGCCTTCGAATTTCTTATTTCTTAACCACGAACCGTCGTGACATACCGAAGGCAGGTAACCACGCCTGACGGCTGCTCCTCCCTCCATCGCCCAGACGGCGCTAGGCTTGCTGTCCAGGTTGCAGCACCAATCGTAGGGCACTGTCTCGCTCGTGATGTTGATCGCGTTGGGTCTCGTTGTAGACCAGGCCATGTCAGTGACGCGAACCTGGTTGATCTGGTGCGTCTGAGTGCCCTTTTTGTTGACCCTGACAACCGCGAGCTCGCCTGCGATGAGCAGCGGCTTCGGCCCCTTCTTCAAATTACTCACTTTGAACTGCTCCTCCTTCGCGACGTTGACCTCATTCATATCAATGGCCTTGGCGTCATCGCGCAGGGTCACGGAGGTGCGGAACACGCACTCCGGGTAGAAGCCCATGCGGCTGGCAGCCTTAAGGGGCTGCTCCGCGCAGGAAATGCAGCCCTGTGGCGACTCGGCAGCATGCGTCGCGGTGTGGAGCGGCGGCGGCAATTTCGCCAGAGCGAGGCTCGGGGTAGGCGTTGCCGTAGAGCAGCGCGCTAATGCCGACGCTGCAGCCGACGTGAGCTTGGATCCTTTAGTTGGCGAGGCTGTAGTTGTCCCGGCACGTTTCGCTCTTGCTTGTTGATGAACTTGCTGATGGACGCGGTCCGCGACTCGGTCCTGATGGCATGGTTGACGGTCGGGGCGCTATCCGCCGTGGTCCCCCCAGTCGGTCTAGTAGGGGCCTCGGCGCCAGCGCCCTCGATCGCCCGCCTACCCTCAGGCTGCAGACGAATCGCGGGGCGACCCACGCTGCTCGCAACGAACTCCGGGGTAACATTTCCCATGCGAATCTGCGACTTCCAAGGCGAGATGTCGATCTGAGAGGGGTGGGTGAAGTCTCGTCCGACGGGGGGGCCAAGCGCGGGATGGTCCACGACGCTGAACGCGACGCGGCCAGCCCAGCCGCAGCGCGCCAGCGGCGCGGTCACGCGCGTCTTGCTAGGGAGGGCACCCCGCTGCCGAACCCGTAGACCTCGTCTTCGGGCTCCTTGAGGATCTGGTCGGCTGGGCCCATCTTGGCAAGCAGATCCTTGCAGTTGTTGTGCCACTTGGGGCCCAAGGCGCAGAAAAAGGCAGGCAGCGTCCAGTGCCCCGAGCCCTTCGTCCACGGGCTTCTCACAATAGGCAGATGCATTGGCGTTCGGCAGGCGATGCATCAGCCGCGCGGAGACGCAGGCACCCGAAGGAGGCGACGCCGGCCCCTGCTGGTGTACCGGCGCCTCTTCGCCCACGAACTGGACCTGCTCAGCGATGCGCGCCTGTCGTTGTGGTCAGCCGCCTCGGCCTCCACCGCGACCGCCCCTATGCTTGTCCTCGGGCGCAAACTAGCGCGCGCCGGGCGTAGGACGCGCTCCTCGTCTCGAGCCCAGCGCCCCGTCTCGCCGCAGTCCACGCACATGGGTGTCTCATTTGCGCTGGTCGACGCGGCTCTAGAGCTTGCCAGGGCGACGTGCCCCAGTCGGCTTGCCGCCCGACTTGCCACGGCACTCGAAGGCTTCCCGCGCAGACCAGATGGCGGCCATGGCCTCGGGAATCGCGGCGAGATCCGCCGCGGCGGCCTCGACCTCGGCGGATTCGTCGCCGTCGAACACCTCGGAACTGTCCACGCCGGAGGACTCGAGCTCGGCGCTGAACGGTTCTGAACGGCTCGAGGTCCTGGCGAGCCATGTCTCGAGCGTCGGCCATGGTCTCGCCGTCGCCCCCGTCGCCCCGGCGCCGTCGACCTCCGGCTCGTCGACGACGTTAGTCGAGCGCCCCCGAGGGATCCTCGATGCCAAGAGGGGGGAGGGGGCTTTCAGCCGCCGGCAGGAAGCGACCGGTCGTTCCGCGGCCGCGGCGGCTGCGGCGCGCGGCGCCCCGGGTTGTCGACGTCCAGGAACGTCCTCGCCAGCGGGCCTCGGACGCGCTGGAATCCGTCGCGCTTGCCCGGCAAATTGCCCGCAACGCGCTCGCGTCGCTCTGCCGCGAGGCCCGCCTTGCGCATTAGAAACCATCCAGTTTCGTCGTCCAACGCGCTGGGGCCCACCCCGTTCTTACGTAGCTGCTGGAGACTGGTCTCGGATCGAACGAGCTAACCCGTCCTGCGCTCACCGCGCCGGCGATGGTGATGAACCGACTCGGAAAACTTCTCGAGAGGTCTCGCCCCTCTGCGCCGGTGGTTGAAGACGTTCTCGATGCCAACCTGGTTGCCGTTGCGCTCCTGCTCGCCCGCGTCTCCGATGTTGTCCGCAGCTGGCGGCTGCAGTTCTTCCCCCGCCACGTCAAGCGCAGCTGCCCTCGCCGAGCCCGTCATCTTGAGCACGAGCTTGGACGCGAGGCTCTGGGTGACTTCTAGGTTCTCGCTGAGCTTCCAAAGCTTAACCCCCTGCTTGTAGTCTCATGGGATTGATCGACTGGTCGTAGTTGTTGTGTTGGTCTGTCATTGTCATTGTGTCTACGTGCTCGGCGTTCTGGTCGGTTGTGAGATTGAACGCGCGGGGTCCGCCGAAGTTGTGAAAGGACGTGAACTTGAACGACAGGGTTGAGATGGGCGTCGCTGACATCCGAAAAGAAGGTAACGAGGGCGTTGGGCTGGGCGTCGCTGGCGTCCGAAAAAATAGGCGTATATGCTGGCGTCGCTGACGCTAGTGGAGCTAGGCAGGGTAAGGATCAGGGTGAAGGTCGCCCGCAAGACGCCGCTGGACGTCGTTTCTGTGGCTCGCGATAGCGTCGTCGTGGCTGGTATATGGACATGGCGCGCAGCGCCAGGCAGCTGAGACCCGCTCCGAGCTACCAGTGTGATATGACATGGCGCGCGGCGCCGAAAGTTTGTTCTCTCTCGCGCGGTGAGGCGAAGCCTAGCTCTTACGCCAAGGGCTGTAAAATCATGTGGGCCGAGATGGGCAGCGGGAGGCAGGGTGAGTGCAGCCATAGGCTGAGAGCAGGGACCGCAGCGGAAGCTCGGCGGCAGGGCACTAGACATGCTATCGAATCGACCCAAACCACACACCCCACCCCATCCACTCCGACCCCATCTAAGAGGCTAAACCGTCTGGGCGCCCCTTTTTCCTCCGGGCTCCCCTCGGCCAGGCCCGCGCCGCGCCGCCGAGGCCGCGCAGAGGCGAGGCTGCGCCGCCGGCGCCGCGGGGGCGGCGAAGAGCCGCCCTGGCGTGGCGGCCGCGAAAAGCTGCGGGCGGGCTGGCATCCTTGGGCTGCGCGCAAAAAACGACTTTCATTTCAGCGCACGCGGCCACTGGCGAGGGCCGGCACAAACTGCGCGCCATCGGCGGGGCCGACTGGGTTCAAACACGCGCTTGGGCGAACACGCGTCCTGAGGATCATCGAGTCCTGGCCGAGAGTCTCACGGCCTGGGATCGACTACGCCCCCGCTCAGAGTTAAGGAAACCTGAAGCTAAAAAAACTTACCTCACTCGAAGCGTTTTCTTCACCAGTCGCCCAGGTCCACATCTACGTGCCTTCCACAGAGACAAGGGCCCAAAGAAAATGCCCAGGGCCCAATCCAGATTCATGATTTTCCTTTATGGAATCTGGAATCCATGAACGTTGCTGTTGCTCCATAACATGTCTGATGGGTGCACGCGCAGGAGCGGCCCTATATATATATATATATATATATGAACGGCGCCCATGCACCGCACCATGTCTGCTCCGCTTTGTCGGCTCTGAGGGCCGAGAATCTATGCGCTGTACCGCTCCTGGGTCGAAGATCGACGACGCCTCGGGAGACGCAAACGCGGTACGGTGCACGTAGGTCGTCCGCGGACCCCAGGCAAGAGTGACCTTTGGTGCGCGGCTTTCGGGGGGGCGCGGGGAGGCCTCCGAGAGCGCAGACCGCTGCTATCGCATCGCATTCAGCCACCGGGGGGGCCCAGTGTGCCCGCGCTGAAAGTCACTCCAGCGAGAGGTCACTCTTGCGCGTAGCCGAGTCCTGGCCAAGTGTCTTGGGGCCCGGGATCGGCTACAGTCGAGGTGACCAGAGTCGAGGTGCTACCAGAAGGATTGCTAGAAAAGGAACGAAGCCCCCCTGTTGGCCCCAGGAGCGGCCAGGTGCACGAGCCAGAGGAACAACCACTGAAAGATCCAGGGAACAGCGAGCCCCTTCCGAACCCAAACCAGTATGTATCTCAGCGCTTTGACTTTGCACCCCTGATCAGGATTACAAGCAGCCCGTGAAAGAAGGACGCACGATGAGGGTGCAAGGGCCTTGGAAGGCCATGTCGACACTTTGCCAGCGGGGCGCGGCCAGTGACAGCGGCCAAGGATGGGCCGAAGGGAAAGGATGCAAGGGTGACAATGGAAAGTCGCTCAGCCTTACTACGTGGGGGCGTCCTTCGATGATCCTCAGACGGCGTGTTGGCGCCAGCGCGTGCTTGTCCACCGAGGCCCTTCAATACGACGCAGGCCACCCAGCGAGGGCCGAAACAGACTGCGCGCCATCGGCGGGGCCGACTGGGTTCAAACACCCGCTTGGGCTAACACGCGACCTGAGGATCATTGAGTCCTGGCCGACAGTCTCAGGGCCTGGGATCGGCTACGCCCCTGCTGAGCGTTAAGGGAATCCCACCAGCCCTCTGGGCTGAGTGGTCTAATGGAGTTCCCTGCCACAGCCGCAAGATATCTCAACATCGCTCAATACATATTCCGACAAGCCTCCAAGACGCCCAAGGCCAAGACAGCCCCAAGAGGGTCCCAAATGCCACTCCCCCATCCCAACATCCTTCACAAACCTACGAAAAACCGATATGTGTGTGTGTGCTTCTCACTGTTTCGCTACTGATTGGATTCGTTGGCTTCAGGCTGGCCCCCCAAAAAGGCCCCAGAGAGTCCCAAAACGGGCCCAAGACGGCCCCAAATCCGGCTCCAAGATGGCCCCGAGAGGCTATTTGGGAGCTCCCAAAAGGTCCCCACAGAGCTCCAAGAGTGCCACAAGAGGAAACCCAATCTGCAGTGGAAATCCAATCTGCAGTGGAAGACCAGTCTGCAGTGCAAAGCCGGCTTGGAACGTTGTGTCCCCAAACTTGGAACAGTTCATGCAAATTGTTTGTGGGCGAAGTGCGTCCGTCCAAATTACGAGAGTAATGCGATCTCATGTTGTTCTAAACCCGTGCGGGAAAGCATTGGCAACGAGCCCCTCCCCCTCCTCCTTCCCCTCCCCCTCCTCCTCCTCCTCCTCATCCTCGTCCTCCTTCTCTTCCTCTCTCCTTCGGGGCAATATGATCTGATATGTTTTGTTGTTAAGCCGTTCGGAAAAAGCAGGATTGTGGTGCAGGAGTCGTTCCCCGATGACATACGACATACTAGTGGCAGGTCAACATTGTTCGAAGAGGACCCCAAGAGGACCCCCCTCGAGCCAAAACGGCGTCAGGTCGACCTGATCAACGGAGCTTTTGACGACCCATGCAACAAATGTTCCCGCCCGTCCCGCACACCCCGAAAAGACATCCCAAACGGCTATCGCACTGTATGTCTCTACGTTGCCCTCATCAAGCCAACTCACCTGGCGATCGTGTCTGGATGGGCTGGTGGAGATACGCGCAGGGTCAAGAACTTGAGGCTGAGAAATTAAACCTCTCTCGAAGCGTTTTCTTAACCAGTAGCCCAGGTCCACATGCACGAGCCTTCTACAAAGAAACGGGCTCCAAGAAAACGCCCAGGGCCCAATACAGATTCTTGCTTGTCTTTGACGGAATCCGGAGTCCATGAACGTTGCTGTTGCTCCTTAAGATTTCTGATGGGTCTACGCGCAGGAGTGGCCCTATATATATATATATATATATATATATATATATATATATATATATATATATATATATACTAGAACCATCGCGCGCGCTTCGCGCGCGCTCAGGTTCTAGCCCAGGCCTGGGGGGCGCTGGACGATCTTGGACAACGATCTCAAGCACAGGCGCGCGACGGCATCTGAGGAGCTTCTGGGGTGTTCCGCATGCTTCGTCAACTGGCTGATGGAGGCACCTCTTGGGTGCTTCTTGGGGGGGCGTCTGAGGGTCACTTGGGGGCATCGGTTCTGCAATCTGAAACTTTCATTGGCCGTCTTGGCTGCGTGGAAGCCCGACTTGAGGCCACCTGCGGCCAGATTGAGGCAATCCGGAAGCCTCCCGGGGGCCTCCTGGAAGCAGTTTTGACACATCGAGGGCACTCTTGGGCTATCTTAAAGCCTCTTGGACGTCTCCTAGAGGCCTTTTAGGCTCTCGGGAAGCTTTTGGGGTCCTCGTCGGACCACTTGGGGGCCTCTTGCGGCCTCCTGTGGGCCTTTTGGGGGGACCGCTCTGCTGTTGGGTCGCGTTCCCCTTCTTGGGCCTCTCTTGGGGCTCTTGGGGCCCTCTCGGGCCGTCTTGGGCGCCTCAAGCACCGTCTTGGGGCCCTCGCGGGCCGTCTTGGGGATTTCTTGGAGGCCTCTTCCTCTATATGGGAGCGGTGTTGGAAGCCTCTTGGTCCGTCTTGGAGCATCGGGATGCCAAAAGGCCGAAAAAATTTAAACCCGTCAAAGCCCAATCGTAAAACAATGAGTTGTGCCTCTTGGGGCCACCTTGGGAGATCTCTTGGAACCTCGTCGGCCCTCTTGGGAGCTTCTTGGGGGCCTCTTGGATCCGATTGGGGGCCTCTTGGGACTTCCCGAGAACCTCTCGGGGTAGAAAGCTCGGATTCTCGGTTCGTGTTTCCCTTCTTGGGCCTCTCTTGGGGCCGTCTTGGGGCCCTCTCGGGACGTCTTGGGCGCCTCAGGCACCGCCTTGGGACCCTCGTGGGCCGCCCAGGGCCCTCTTGGAAGCCTCTTCGGCTATCTTGGAGCTGTCTGGGAGGCCTCTTCCTCCTCCTCGTCCCCATCCTCCTCCTCCCACTCCAACTCTCTCTCCTCCTGATCTTCCTCCTCCTCCTCCTCCTGCAGCGTGTTCCGGAAGGCTCCCGCCGGAACATGCTGTGCACAAGTGCTGTCACTGCTCCCGCCACCGTGCCCTGGGTGGTGGGTCAGAGGCCTCATGGGTGTTGGTTTGGATCTCGTGGTTGGCCTGTCGGGGACGTCGTGAAGGCAATTTCGCAGCTTCTCGGTAGCCGTTTTGGGACCGTTGTGGGGCCTCCTCGGGGCTGTCTTGTGGCCTCTTTAGGCCTCGTTTGGGCCTCCTGGGTGCCTCTTGGGGGCCTCCTGGGGCCTCTTGGGGGCTCCTTGGGGCCTCCTGGGGCACTCTTCAAGCGGGAGGGTCGAATTTTGGAGTCGTGGTCCCCCTCTTGGGCGCATCTTGGGGCCGTCTTGGGGCTCTGTTGGGCTGTCTTGGGCGACTCTGGGGCCGTCTTGGAGCCCTCTTGGGCCGTCTTGGGGCGCTCTTGGGAGCCTATTGAGCCGTCCTGGAACGTCGGACAGCCGAAAAGGCTGGAAGGCCAAAATGGTTCGAAAACCTTGTACAATTGACGATTTCGGCCTCTGGAAGCGCTCTGGAGAGGCGTCTTGACGCGTCGTGGAGTGCCGTGGGGGGCCGCTCGGGCCGTCTTGGGCCTATCTTGGGCGTCCTGGAGCGGTCTTTCGGCGACTCGGGGCCCGCTTGGGCCGTCTTGGGGGCCTCTGGAGGCCCTCCTGGACTATTTTGGACCTCCCTGGCCGCCCCGTCCTCCCATGGGAGGTCGGAGGCGGCGGCCTCCGAGGCCCAGGACGCGGGAACCCGGTAAAAACACAGGGAAAATGAGCCCCGGTCCCCCCATGGGGGTCGGGAGCACCTGTTCTGGGGCACCCGGTCTCGCCCCCAGGGATATATATATATATATATATATATATATATTTGTGAGAGAGGCGCTCATGCACCGCACCATGTCTGGACTCCATTCGGGCCTCGCTTTGTCGGCTCCGAGGGCCGAGAAACTATGCACTGTACCTTTGGTGCGCGGCTCTCGGCGGTCAAAAGAGGGGGGGGGGAGGCAATCCCGAGCGCGCAAGCCACTGTTGTCTTCAGCGATAAAGGGGCCTCAGAGGGCCCGCACCAAAAGTCCCTCCAGCGAAGGGTCACTCCTCCCCTTGTGTATAGTCGATGAGATCATGCCGTCGCATGTTTCCCGTATCCTAAGACGGGGCTCTTGCTGTTACTTTCGCCGTGCCGGAGGACAACACACTTACCCACCTCCCTCACGCCCACTCATCACTCAGAGCCTCTCACACTGTGGCTTACTCATACTCAGACGCACTCCCTCAGACCCACCCATCGCTCAGGATCGCTCATCGCCTAGACGCATCCATTACTCAGACCTGGACTCGCTCATCGCTCAGACACACTCCTCACTCAGACTCACTCATGCTGTGACTCGCACTTTCATGCTCAGACTCGCTCATCGCCTAGATGCGTGCATCACTCAGACCTAGACTCGCTCATCGCTCAGACCCAATCACCACTCAGACTCACTCATGCGCTGACACTGAGACTCACACTGAATGATGCTCTTGCTCGCTCTTCCTCACTCTGCCAGACTCAGGCGAAGCGCTGATTTCAGCAGTCCCTGGGGGGGGGGAGCCAGGGGGTATTGCACGGGGCCCTTCGCGCCCAGAATGTGGGGATGTTTCAGGCGTTTGGTTGTTTGCGTGCTCAAAATTCTTTGCATTCGGAGCAGTTTCTGAGGATGTCTCAGGTGAGGCGCTGGTTTCAGCACTCCCAAGGGGGGGGAAGGGGGGGGCGCCAGGGGGTATCTCACTAGCCCGTTCGAGCTCAGATTGTGGGGATGTCTCAGGCGGTTTGCCTGTTTCGGCTTCCACCATCTCTTGCTTTCGGAGCATGTTGCGAGGATGTCCTCCTCCCCCTTGTTAGGCCGAGGATGAGGGGGAGGGACGAAAAGGAGGGAGAGGAGGAGAAGGAAGAGGAGGAGGAGGGAAGAGGATGCTGATGATGATGATGATGAGGAGGAGGAGGAGGAGGAGGAGGAGGCGGGTGAGCAGGAGGAGGAGGGGGAGGAGGCGGATTGCGGACGACTGACGGGGCGGCTGCCCCGCCCGGGCGACCGACGGGGTGGCTGCCGCGCTTGAAAAACTCCAACATGCTCGGACAGGACATGCCTGGGGCTCGCTCACGCTCCGACCAACTCGCAGCAACACGCACTCACACTCAGACGCACTCGCATACATACCCAATAACACTCAGACCCACTCAAACTCATGCTCACGAGTATTCACATTTACTCACACGCATACTCGTTCGCTGTGAGACGTGTGAGTCGCCCGCACTCATACTTGCAGCCGATGACGGTTTCTCGAACCATCGGCTCGCTCTTGCACACAAGCGATGTTGGGGCACATACCCACAGAAAGACGTGCACAGAGAAAGAGATGCACATGAGGGGGAGCTCCGCGTCGAGTAATGTCTTACACCGGGTGTTTTCGCCCTGTGTCGGGCCCCGGGTTCCTCGCAGTTCGATCTGGCCCGAGAAAGTATTCAGAGAGAAGGAGCCCGGGTCTCCGAGGATGCTTTCTTTGTTTGCGATGCTACATCTGATTTGCAACGTCAGGTCTGAGGACAACGCCCGGGCCCACGACGAAAGAGTTGTTGCCATGTTCGGACTCTGGGGGCCCAGGCCCTCGCCGGGCCCATATATCTGACGCCGTGGTTTTTGCTCCACAGCGTGGCTTCCCAGAAATCTGGGCCCCTTCCCCTGGACCAACTTTTCATGCTGCGGGTAGCTTTTGTTACCGGCCCCGTGGCCTTGCCAAGGCCGCTGGAGACCGAACGCAATTCAACACCTTCCGCCATTTTCCTTTCACAACGAGACGGCGCCACGGTGTGTTTATAATGTGTATATAGATATAGATATATGTACATACATGTAAAAAGACATACCGATATACATATCGCTTGTTCTTTACACGTATAGATCTACACATCTGTATTGCTAGCAATGATGGCATATCCGCCACCAAATCTTGTGCATCTACATATAATTCAGAAAGGGAGGGAGACGGATAGAGAAAGAGAGAGAGAGAGAGAAATAAAGAAAGAAATAGAGAAAGGAGAGAGAGAGAGAGAGAGAGACAACACACACAGACACACAGACACACAACCACACAGTCACAGACACGGACACACACACACACACACACACACACACCGGCACACACAACATACAAACAGCAACGACTTCGGACTTCCTGGGCACGAAGAGGGCCGCAGCAGCAGGCGCCGCGGCGAGCCACGCCATGTGGCGGCGGCGCTGCCGCGCCCCGCGGCGCGGGGGCGGCGAGCACCCCATGGCGGCGGCGGCCCCCCACGGCGGGCGGGCTTTCGAGGCCAACCAGGGGCTCTGAAGGAAACGGGTCTTGAGGCTTGCCCCTCCTCCTCCTCTTTCTTTCCTCCTCGCCCCTCCAATCCTCATTCAATATCTCCTCGCTGTCGTGCCCCCAGACTTGTCGCCAGGGCGGGCGGGGCGTCTCGCCAGAGATATCCTTTCCATTTACGTTCCTGCTGCTTGTAACCTGCAAAAGCTTAACTGATGGAGGACGGTTCGTTTTCACAACGTTGCTCTCGCCCTAGCGCCGCGCACATTCATCTTTCAATGTTGCAACAGTCCCAGAGGTGGAGGGCGGTTCGTTTGCAAAATGTAGCTCTCGCCTTAGCGCCACGTGCCTTCGTCTTAAAAGCTCGCAGCAGTCTCAAGGACGGAAGGCGGATGGCTTTCAACATGTGGCTCTCGCCTACGCGCCGCGCGCATTCGCCTTTACAATATACAACGGTTTCGAAGACTCTAACTGGTCATGGCTCTGACATGATGCTTTGGCGCTGCCTAAGCTTGAAGAGACGCGACACCCACGTTGAATTGAGGTGTTTAAATCCCAGAAGCGGTGGTCCGGCACGGTTCAAGAGCGTCTGGGCGCAATAGTAACACTGATTCGAGGCGTTGAACACCCAGGACTGTTTCCTTGGAATGGTTCAAAAAGCGAAGCACTTCCCGCGGTGAAAGACATCCTTGTAGGGACCTATGAAGAGGAAACCTGGAGGGAGTGTTTATAGCATCATTGTTGATGAGTCTTGGCTGTGCACTGGCCCTCCTCCTCCTCCTCCTCACCATCCTTTCCCCCCCTTCCGACTCCCTCTCACTCCACTCCCCCCCTCGCCATCCTTCCCGCTCTTCCCTCTCCTCGCCATCCTCCTTTTCAAATTGTGACACTCGCTTTCGCGCCGCGGACACTTGTCTCAAAATCTCAAATGGGCCTAAGGGCTCTCATCGCTGAAGCCCCAGGAAGTGCAATCGGGCACGATTTAGGATTGTCAGGACGCGAAGTCCCAGGCACTGTGTCCTGGCAGGACTTAGAACTGTCAGGGCGCATCTGTCGATACGCGGCGTTGACGTCCCCGGAATGGTGTATTGGTACTGGGGAGAATTCCCAAACGGTTGCCTTCCAAAGGGGGGCTCCCGCAATGAAAAGACGTTCCTGCAGGGGCATATGAAGAGGGAATTTAAAAGGCGGGTGTATTGCAAAATCGTTGATGTTTCTTGGGTTTACTCTGGTCCTCCTCCTTGCTCCTCCCTCCATTCTCAGGGCCTTCGTCGCCAAGGGGTCTGCAGCAAACGAAAACCTCACCCCTTTCAAACAATGTTCCTCCCCCGCCCTTCCCTATCCACATCCCTGGCCATAGCACGCGTGCGCGTGCCAGTGCAAGTGTCCGCTCCGCGTAGTCGCGAGCGTGCCCGACGGGCGCAATTCGTTTGGTCCATGCGTCCTCTCGGGCGCACGGCTCTTGCCGGATTGACCAGAGCCCTCACGGGCCCCCGAAACCACCAAGGACGGCTCGGGATGACGAGCTGGCCCCGGGGAGAAACCCAAAGTCACTCCAGACCTCCTCGCGCCGTGGAAGATCACGGCGGACGGATTCGGGCCACTTTGACACTCGGAGAACATTGCTCCTCCTCGTCCGCGCGCCCTCCTCGTCGCTCCTCGTCCCTGCGACGAGGGGGGCTCGGAGTCCTGGCCCTCCTCGATCGTCGGTCGTCCTGCTCCCGCGCCCCACGCCAGCACCCCGCTGCCATCTCCTTGAAGGGGCCCTGGGACACACAAATAAATAGACACAAATAAAAAGATGCCCCATATTTCCTATATTTTTTGGGTTTCTGTTTTTCCCCCCCACTTCCGATATTTTCCCATATTTTCCTGGGAGTGGACGATTAAGTGTGTCTGTGTGTTTTTTCCCCTCCTGACTCCTGTCTACCGCCTCCGCCCCTCTATCCCTCCTTCCGTCTAAATATCGCCTCCCGTCGCACCCCGAGACGGGTCGGTACAGTCAACCCGTACAAGAAGGGCGCATGATAAGGATGAGAAGACCTTGGGAGACCATGCCAACACACTTCGAGTGGGGTGCGGCCAGCAAAAGCGGCCAAGGATGGACCGAAGCGGGAGGATGCAAGGGCTACCTCGGGAAGCTGTTCATCTTTACTATGCGGGCCGGGCGTTTCGGCCGAGACTTCCTCTTCCTTTATGATCCTGAAGCTGAACAGTTGCAACAGTTTAACAGATGGTGGGCGGGCAATAGTTGAAATGTGTCTTTAGCCTTAGCGTCGCGCGTATTCGTTGTATAAGTTTGCAGGAGCTCCACGACGGACGGCGGGCGGTGTTCGAAATGTGGCTCTCGCCTTAGCGCCGCGCGCACTCGTCTTAAACATGCTCATAAGGCGGGCGGTTTTCAAAACGTGGCTCTCGCCTTCGCGCCGCGCACATAAAAGGTTGCCGTAGGTTCACGGTGGCGGGCGGACAGTTTTCAGATGTGGCTTCCGCCTGAGCGCCGCGCACATTCGCCCCAAATGTTGGCAAACAGTTTCAGGGATAGAGGGCGGCTCCATGCCAAACTCTGGCTATCGCCTCCGCGCCGCGTACATTCGCCTCCACAGTTTACGGCGATTTCGAATCTTCCAACGTTTGGCGTTCCAGAAATTGTTCTTTGGCACGGCTTAAATCTACAGGACGCGACAATCACGTTGATCTGCGGTGATGACGTTCCAGGACAGGCGTTGTGGCACCATCCAAGGGCGTCAAGGCGCAACAACAAAAATACTCGCGGCGCTTAAGTCCCAGGAATGGTGCTTTGGCAGGGTGGCAGATCTCCAGACGATTGTTTTCCTACGGGGCACTCCCCGCAGTGACAATACGTCCTAGTGGGGACCTGTGAAGGGGGTCTTGTGTTAGCACTGGTCCTCCTCCTCCTCCTCCTCCTCCTCCTGCTCCTCCTCGCAATCCTCCTCCCCGCCAACACCTCCCACTCCCTCCCACTCCATTCCGCCCCTCGCCATCATTCCCTCTCCTCGCCATACTTCCCCCCTCAACCTCCTCGCCATCCTATTCTTCCTCCTCCTCCCCCTCATCCTGGCCATCCTCCTCCTTCCCCTCCTCTCCGCCCTCCACCTCCTCGTCCCCCCTCCTCCTCCACCCCCGCTTCCCCAGACCTCGAATGTCTTCAGGAAGTCAAAGCGGAGTTCTCGTGCCGCTTTTCTGCCTGGCAGGAGCTGCCTCAGGAGGCCTCAAGATGCACCCGAAAGGCCCCACAGGGTCCTCAGGTGGCCCCAAGAGGCCCTAACAAGGCCCCCAAGAGGCCCCCCAGAGGCCCCAACATGAGCCCCAAAAGGTCTCAAAACTGTCTGCAAGAGGACTCCCACAAGATCCCATCGGACATCCAATAGGCTGCGTACCCCCAACGCAGGCACGGTGTCGGGACTTGCCGTAGGCAGCTGGACAAAAAGCCACATTGGTGGTCTGGGCCCTCATGCTCCTCCGTCCGAGCACCTCGCACAGCGTGCGCAACTCTATATTCGTGAGAGCCTCCTGGAAGCACACCAGAGCTCGAGAAGATGATCCTCCTCCTCCTCCTCCTCCTCCTCCTCCTCCTCCTCCTCCTCCTCCTCCTCCTCCTCCTCCCCCTCCTTCCTCCAATATCCTCTCCCTTCTCGTCTACCCGCGCAAGAACAGACACACACACACACACAGACACACACACACACACACACACACACACACACACACACACGCGCACTCTCTCTCTCTCTCTCTCTCACAACAAACACACAACACACAACACACACACAGGCACCCACCCACCCACCCACCCACGCACCCACCCGCACGCACGCACGCACACATACAAAGACACACACACACACACACACGGAGACGGAGCGTGCTTCCTCCTTCTCGTCCTCCTCCTGTTCATCCTTCGCTCCGCCCTCTCCCTCCCTCTCTCCCAGTCCCCCCTCCCCCCCGCAGGGAGGAAAGAGCGAGATGTCCCCACCCCAGGGAGGGAGAGAGTGAGACAGCAAGAGGAAGGGAAAAGAGAGAGAGAGAGAGAGGAAGTGAGAGAGGGGAAGGGACGGATGGACAAGGATGAGCTCTTGCCCCTGACCCTTTCCCCCTTCCTCCTCCTCCTCCTCATCCTCCTCCTCCTCCTCCTCCTCCTCCTCCTCCTCGACATTCGGAATCGCTGAGTGCCGCGCGCGCGTTGGCGAAACTTCGCCGGTGCAAGTGCACCAGGAAGCGGACCTGCCGTCTGCGGTCGCCATGCAAGTCGAAGACGTCGACGTCGTCATCGTCCGAAGGAAGGGGGAAGGGGGGAGTGTGAGTTCGAAGACGAGTAAATGTAGCCAGCGCGAGCGAGCAAGACAACCCTGCCTTCTGCCGCCCTCCCCCTTCCCCCAGAACAGGAGGACCAATACTAGAACATCTGGACGTTGGGACTCGCGCGCGCCCACCTGACGAGCGGGAAGGACATCGGCAAGGCAGAAGCGGAGTCATCGCTGAATGCCCGCTCGGCGCTTCGGCCCGAACGCACTTCGGCCCACCCGCGCCCGGCCAAAACTTCCGACACGACCTGGCAGAAGCAAAACACGGGCCGCGCCAGCACGGGAGCGCCGCTGTTTGGCAGGATCCGCACCGCGCTCGAGCGAGAACGGCAGCTCGCCCGCTGGCGCGCGGCCCCAGGGCCGACGAGTGCGAGATGGAGAGCTGCACACACAGGCGGTAGCGCAACTATCAGCGAGAACTCTGCGCGGCGCTGGGGCGAGAGCGCAATCTCACCACCTCTCGCGCGATGAGCACCGCGCCCCATTCCTGCCTGGCATTTTGCAGCCTCGACGACGGAACGCCAATGCTGCGGGTAAAAGAGTCGACGTTGCAGTGCTTCTTCGCTGGGTAAGATGGATGGGAGGTCCCAGATGTGGTAGCTATCGGCTGGCTAGGTGCCAGAATTGGAGCACATAGTAATTTGCACGGAATAATGAATAAAGATCTGAGGGCAGAGGAGGAGGAGGACGAGAAGGAGGAGGAGGAGGAGGAGGGGCAGGAGGAGGGGGGGGCA